TACGTGGTTTTACATCTTTAGTGAACCCGCAAGAATTAATGAACTGCCTCTTGCACTCCCAAGTAAGATTTCTTTTCCAAAAATCAATGAATCTGCTGGCATTGATTTTCAGATGTTAACGAACGGCAGTTATACGTACAGGTCCAACCACATGGACTTTTTAGTTGTTTATTTAGTATTAGTTTGTTTTTACCATATTGTTAACACTTTAATTGAGGTTTTGCGGTTAAATCACTTTCTATATCTGAGTCAGATGAGGAATATGACACTAATTTGACAAACGTTATTATTATTATTATTGCTGCCGGGCTGAGGAGAGCGGCCCCTCTCGTTACTGCGACCTATAAGATCTATTGTAACTTTAGCCCTCCAAAGGTTTAGGGCAAATGTAGGTCCTTAATGAACCTTAGTATTGTCCTGAGGTCTTGAACCTTTATGTCGGTAGGTAACAGGGGAGTTTTACCGAAGATGTTGTGTCTTAGCCGGCCTCTGGCGACGCAATTGCACAGTATATGTTCAGCAGTTTCTGACTCGTCGTTGCATAGTCGACAAGCTTGAGCCTCAGCTTGTCCAATGTGGAAGAGGTGGTATTTTAGGGGCGCATGGCCGGTCAGGTAGCCTGAGAGCGTTCTTAGATCCCCTTTGCTGAGGCATAAAACCTCTTTGGTTTTGTTTTGCGACGGAGTTATCATACTGTTCGCTTGTCTGTGACCTGTAAGCTCTTTCCAGCGTAAGGCTATCTTTGAAACCTCCCAGTTGTTGATTATTTGTTTTAGGTGGCTTTTTTGTAGTCCACAACCAGGTTGGGGTCCAATGAAGGGCGTGTTTGCTGCCTCTTTGGCCAGCTTGTCGGCCTACTCATTGCCCTCAATGTTGCTGTGACCTGGAACCCACCATAGGGTAACATCATTGCCCCTAGCGAGTTCTCTCAGGTTGTTGGTACACTCTTTGATCAGTGCGGAGTCACATGTGTAGGCCTGAATTGCCTTTAAGGCGGCCCGACTGTCTGTGAAAATGTTTATGGATGCACCTTTTTGTCCCTTCTGTAGGTTCAAAGCGGTGCAGAAGTTTATAGCAAGAACTTCTGCTTGGAAAATTGTTATGTCCGAGCTGAGGGGCAATTTGATGTGGCTATTTGGTCCACTGATGCCCATGCCTACTCCAGATCTTACTGTCTTTGAAGCATCGGTGTACCAGGCTAGGGCTCCTCTTTTTAGTTAAGGCCCTCCCTTCGCTCAATCATCCCTGCTTCTAAATATGTATGACCTTATACGGTTGGTTGAAATTGTATTCTGTCGGTATGAGGTCCGTTTTAATTGCAATCAGGTGATTTAGACATGGGTCCTTGAGGATCTCGAGGTGTCCTCTGAGGTTACCCTGCATCAACTTCAGTGAAGAAACTGTTTTCAGTGATAAGGCACTTAAGGCTGCCTCCTTTTGTATATATAAATGGAGCGGTGTGAGACCGAGTAGGGCTTCCAAAGCAGCCGTCGGACAGGATCTCATTGCACCCGTTATGTTAAGACATGCTAACCGCTGGATTTTGAACAAACGTTACTTCATCATTAGTTTCCATGATTATCAGAGTAAAATGATTAGAAGACAGAAATAAGTTTTTGACTTAATATGTCAATAACTTTTCTATTACTTTTCAAAGCACACTACACACGCAATTTTTATGTCTAGATAAATTTTAGACTTACGACTATTTGGCACTAAAAACGAAATGACTTATTTCTTTATAATCGAAACATTTTTCCTTATAATAAGGTTTTTTTAAAGTAATGTTACTAAAAATGAAATACTGGGTTTTAGAGCATTCTTATTCGTTCATTTTTGTTAAAAGTGGACTTACACCCCTTTAGCTCTCAGGTACAGATTTATTTGTTCTTATTCTTATATTTTTTTATCACTCTGTCCATTAATATTATAAATAACAATGGGCTTAGGCTATCGCCTTGTTTTATTCCCTTGCTCATTTCAAAAGTTTTTGATGTTTCTCCCTTCATTTGTACTATGCACTTTGACCTTTAAATTATTTTTATTAGCTTTTGTGGACCATTAGTTGTTCTGGACATGTCCATATAATACTACGGTTAACCGCATCAAAAGCTGCTATTAGGTCCAAGAATATTAGGTATAGCTTATTGCTCGTCTCTATTTTCCTTTCGATGATATTTCGGATTACATGTATGTTATCGTTCGTTTGTTTGCTTGCTCTGTATGCATCTTCTAGTTTATTTTCCACTACTCTTCTCAACTTTTTTTCTATTATCTTTGTGTATAATTTGTAAATTGTAGATGATAGGCATATGGCTTTGTAATTTTCACAGTTGGAGTAGCTTCTTTTTTTATGTATTGGTAAGATGATATGATCTTCTATTCATCTTCTATTCTGATCTTTTATTCCCAAATATTTTATCATCTAAGGGTCTATCTTGTCTTTGCCGTAAGCCTTGTCTGTTTTCATCTTCATCTTCTTATCTCTTCAGTTGTTATGTCTGTAGTCTTCCCTTACCGCATCTTCTCTTCCCCCCTCCATTGTTTGTGGCCGTTTTCTATCCTTGAACTTTTCTCCATAAAAATCCACCCATATGTCCAGAATTTCCCTTGTAGTTGTCTTTATCTCGTTGTTCTTATCTTTGACGGATTTTATTTGTTTCCTTTGATCTCCCTTCAGTTTTCTTATTTGATTCCAGAATTTCCTGTTATTCGATCCGTATGTTTCACTTAAGCTTGTTCCTAACTCTTCCCAACTTTTCTTTTTCGCCTCCCTTATCATATTCTTAGCTACATCTCTCTTCGTTCTATAATTTGCTCTATTCTCTTTCGAATTCCTTCTTATGTATCTCTTCCATGACTCTTTCTTCTTCTTAATTGCCTCTTCATTCCACCAGTGTGTTCTCTTTGTCTGATTATTATTTCACATTATCTCTTTAAAAATTCTCCACCTTTCTTCCAATGTTAAATTCTCTGTTTGCTCTAGTTTTTTAAGTTCGTTGTTTGTTTTTTCTTAGTATTTTAGTCTTTCTTCCTCCTGCCTTAGTTTATGGATGTTTATTTTCGTGTAGCTTTTCATTTCTTCTCTTTCGATGACTAGTCTATGGTTGGTTTCCACATCTGCTTCTGCTTCAGTCTTTACCTCGACTCTGTTTTGGAGATTCCGGGTGTATGTGATGTAATCAATAATGCTCTTAGCATTCTTTTCTTCCGCCACAAACGTATGATACTTGTGATAGATAAATATGAAATAAGTAGTTTTCAGTTTTAGTATTTTCGTTGGAGTTGATTTTATTAAGAAAAATCATTTAATTTTGACATCTTTTGATTTATGCTATATCACCAAAAAATGGTGATAGATATGTAGTAATTATGGATTATTATTTCTTGATGCATTTCTCCATCAGTTTCAGTACTTACGTTAGTAGATTTGATTAAAAAAGATCATCCTATTTTAACAATTTGGGGATTTATGCTATATCTCTAAGAACAGATGAACAAACAGGAGAATAGTTGTAAGAGGTATTTGGAGTTATTACTTTTTAGAATCAGGAACACTGTTCCACAAGAATACTAGTTTCTAACACCTCTATTAGGAACATTTTTTGCTGAGAAACAGAACATAATTATAGAATGGTTACTAAAACACGATCTTTATGTTGAAACTTTTCTGTACTTTGTCGACATCTTGCCTAACTTATTGAATTGATGAGAGATAAGAGAAAGACACAATGTAATGATTTATATATAATTCTAGAACACTCTATATGTATAAGAAATATATACTGTATTTCTTAATAAAATATTATAATTTATCCTTTAAAATCGGAACAAAGGAAATTAAAATTCTTACCTCTAACTATAAAAGCTTAAAACTTGCGTAAGCGGAGAGATAAGGGAGAAAAGGATTTTACTCGACTGTACGGATTTTCCTTCGGCCTCTGAGTAATTGTCCCAGAGTTCCCCTCTAAGGACATTATTCCCCAAAGCTCTTCTTTAATTACTCTTACTGGCTTTACTCGAGCTATAGGTAGATATCTCAATATGGCATAGATCGCGATTTTTAACCACGCGGGATTCCAAATCCCGACCTCGTAGAGTAAGACAATCATCAATAAGTTATCCGATTTCTTTTCAATCAATCAGTATTGAGAATATATTAATATACGTATCATATCTGGAAATAAAGAAGCTTATAAAAACTAAATTCGATACTCTGAATAGGTTGATTTAGATCTTACTTATGAAATCCTCACTTGGTGATGAACGTTGATTTCCGTTTTGACTCCAAGTAAAATTGATTAGCGTATTCGAGATACACGAGCAAAGCGTTGAAAGCGCCTGACACAAATCGGTTTAGCGAGTTCTCGTTTGATCCAATTTACTCCGCGTGCATCCAAAATCCCGTCGACGACGACGAATAAGGAATTAGTAGCGACACGGTACTAACAGAGTGAGAAGACTATAAAGAGAAACGAGGACTGCAGAACCTGTTGCAACAAACATATTTCACGAAAAATAAGTCGCGGTGGCATAAATCTCCATACTCGAGGGATTTCCCCCATTCTCTCCTTCTTCTCTCATTTCCTATCCTCTTTTTCCTTCTTCTCCAGTACTACTAGTAGTAGCCGGAAATTAAAAGTTCCACCTTTTCTGTGGCTCTCTAACACAAAGGACGTAGTTCAGAGGGAAGAAGGTGGCGAGGAAAGAGGCGAGTTTATCTCGCAGACATCAAACGCGAGGGGGTTGTTTTTGATAATACCAGAGGGAATTCCGTTTTTAATATTAAAGAGGCGAATTTTGCTTTCCGTTATTTCCTCTTTCTTCTGCCGCCCAGTACCCGACAAAACAAACCGAATAGGGCAAAGAGGGTGATTTAACGCCGAGCAAGTTAATATAAACCGAGCTTTACTATAAGAACTTTAACAAAATAAAAAAATTAATTATCTACAAGCTGTTAAACACTAATTTTAAATATAAAGATTTTTTTTTGTTTTCAGTAAATACCAACTTAGAAAAATCACCATGACGATGATATATGATTGGGTGGCCGGCACAAGATTCGGAAATTGGATACAAGTATGCAGAGAATCGCGCCGTTTGGTGCTGGTAATTGTGGCCATAGCTCTCCTACTCGACAACATGTTACTGACAACAGTGGGTGAGTGTTTAAAATGTTTATAAATTTACGAAAAATGTGTGCAATTTAATTCGAAATAGAAATAAAAAACAATTTTTATACAAGATTGAGTTAAAAACATTTAATGGATGATGCGTGTACGCGAGTATCGGACGATTTTCATCGTTTTAATTGGGAAGAGTGAGTAAAACGAATCGAATTCAGAGAGTAGTCTGAAAAAGGTTTTTTTTTAAACGGATTAACTTGTTTAAAATGTACCGCTATCATCAGCTATAGTCCCCGTTTGAAGCTGGGGGTTCTCTGAACGCACCAATGCTCTCCTCATGCTACTGCTGCTGTACTGTCCTGTGCTGTTGGTATATAAAACGCGGCCGGAATATGCCAATCAATTTGCGGTCAACAACGATGACCCAGTTAAAATAAGCTTCGAAAAGAAAATTAAATTAAAAAATTAATTAGAAAAAAATTATCGATTGAAAAATGTTCGACAGGAAATTAAGCATGAATATGACAGTAACATTTATTGAAAAAGATTTTGTCTTATACAGTGACTCATAAAAGATTTTAAACAAAAAAAACTGAAAAATTTAAGAGTTTAAACTACATTGTTAAAGAAAAATAAAGCCTATTACATAGTAAGCTATTATTAACAAATATTCAACACTATCAAGAGATGTACCACAAAAAAGTGAATATAAACTGTTACTTTAATCATAGCAGCAGCACGTCTAGGCATAGATAGAATCAAATATAATTGCAAATATTGACTTGGAATTTGCATCATGCTTTGTTAGTAGCTTCTTTTAACGATGCCTTTTAACAAACCATATATGTAGAATCACAACAGGGTGGTTCAGATTTTAATAAGGAAACTTTACTAGTTTTACGTAGTACTTTCCAAAATAACACAAGTATTTTATATAAACATAGGGTCGCAACTCTTCTGTTTTTGGGCTATGAGCTGTCAAAGTTGTTCCATACCCTCTTTGAATTTTTTATAAGAACTTTTTAACACCATGGAGTATACATGGAGCAAACCCAAGCTACTCTCAACGTATCCACAACCGAACTAGTCTCACTCTAAATCACACACTACAAACTGAAACTGCAAACTGAACCACCCAACTTAAACTGCACCCATGTGATTCACAACCAAACCCAACCATGGTATAGGTTGGGTTTGGTCTAGTCAAACCTAGCCTATTAATACCGAAATCAGACCATATCCAAACCACCCAAGTGAAACCCAGTTTATCCACCAGACCAAAGCTAAACCAGTACATCCATGCCGAAACAATTCCAATTCAAACCGCCTAACCCAAACCCAGTCTGTCGTTTATTATAATAAAGTATTAGTCGATATATCTTGATATGTTTATTCACTATTACTGTTACAATCATTCACATAAGCACAACGCCTTAACATAACCTTAACAACAATACCGCCTAATCTTAACGGTCGTTCGTAACTGTGTTACCGGCAAGCTACGAAAACGCCATCTATTTAATGCTAACACTCCTCCTCAAGTTACTTTATTAACACTAATTAACTTGCACAAAAAAATTAAATCAACTTGAAAAGGTTCCTAAACTTTTCGAATTTACATTTAGATAATGTTTTAGTAAATGTGTCCGCGACATTTTGTCGGTTGGGATATATTCTACCTTCATCAAATTCTTATTCACAATGTCCTTTACAAAATGGAACCTGATGTCTATTTGCTTTGACCTTTACGGTTGTCATAGCTTTGCATCATGTTGATTGCGCTTCGATTGTCTACGAATAACAACGGGATGTTGTATTTGTTTGTTAAGTCTTTTAATACACTTTGCAGATACATCAAGTCGCAAGTTGTAGTAGTACATGCAATGTATTCCACTTCTGCTGTCAATAGAGCAACGACACTTTGTTTTCTAGTGGACCATACAATAGGATTTTTTTCATGACATATTATTGTGTCCGTAATACTTTTTTTGTCTGTCCTATTATTGCTCCAATATGCGTGTGAATATGCCCTTAACTGTGTTTTTTTGCTTTTTTCGTAAATTAGCTGTAAATCCTTTGAATATTGCAGGCAACGTAAAATCTTTTTAGCTATCTGCCATAGCTCTGTTGTTTGCTTGTTTAGAAATTGACTGAGATATGCTGTTCCATATGTAATATCTGGTTTGCTCACCGTCGAAATATATAGCAATGAAACAATCAATTGTCTAAACGGTATTTCTTCATTTATTTGTCCCTCGTTAGTTATTTGTAAATTTGGCTTCATTTGTATTTTATTTCCTTTACAGTCTTTCATATTGAATTTATTCAAAATTTTGTCAATAAATTCTTTTTGGTCAATTGTGATCCTCGTATCTATTTACGTTCATTCCCAGAAAATTTCTTAATTCACCGAAATCTTTGGCGTTAAATTTATGTTTCAGTAATGATACTAAATTTTCTACTCTCGATAATTCTGCTGTGATAATTATGTCGTCAACCCATATGAGTAGCTTTAATTGTTCGCCCAGATACAGACAGAAATCACTACCTGAGCTTTTCAATCGAGTTTTCTTAATAAATAAATGAAATCTTTCATTCTATTTACGCGGTTATTGTCCAATTTTCATTTAGAGCGTGTGACAATAATAATCTTATTATTGGAATATGTGCCACAGGACTGTACACATTTTCGTAGCGCTCCTGAAATCCTTTTGCCACTAACTTAGCTTTTCTTGTTCCATCTTGTTTGGTCCTAAATGCCCATCGAGTATCTATTGCCTTTTCTCCATTGGGTAGATCAGCCGGTATCCAAGTGCCATGTAGCTGTAGTGTTTCTATTTCTTTATTGATTGCTTGTTTCCATTCTTCTCCTGAATTGACAGCTTCATTGTACGTCAATGGATTAGCTGTATAGTAACAATACGCAGTATACAATTCGTAGTCGTTAAATTTGGAAGAAATTTTGACTTTCCTTTTATTTGTATATGTTACCTAATCCTGTACTTAACTTTTCATCACGAAATTCTGCTTCTGTTTCATTTTCACTTGTTCTTCGGTCCTCTTCTTCTTGGTTTCTTTCTTCAATTAATTCATTTTGCCCGGTCACGTTATTTTCTTGCTCTGGATTTTCTGCTCCTACTAAATAATGATCCACTTTGTTTTCTTCACATCCGCTTTTATGAATAATGCCAGCTTCATCAAATTGAACATCTCTTGAAAAGATTATTTTGTTTGTCTTTTTGTTCCCAAAGTATATAACCTGTTTTTCCATATCCAACTAGCCTGCATTTAACTGCTCTTGTTTCCAGTTCATCATGCGGTACGGTTAATTTATAGGCTCTGCTCTTGATCCAAAAATTCTTAACCTATTGATTGTTGTATTGAGTTGACCAGCAGATTGAATTGCTTCCCCCCAAAGATACTTTGGAAGATTAATTTCTGCTAACATTGTTCTGACTCTGCTTAGTAAAGTAAAATTGGCTCTTTCACTTACTCCATTTGGTGTTGTGTGTAGGGAATTGTATACTCTATCTGTATACCCTTTTGATTACGAAAATTCTTTAGTATATACGAACTGAATTCTCCTCCACAATCTGCACGAATTCTTGAGCACTTATTTCTTTCTGCTGAGAGTTGTCTGACCTATTTTATTATATTGTCTGCTGCCTCTGCTTTTGATTTTAATAAGTGACATACAGTGACAAAATGTGTATGATCATCTATTATTGTTTGATAATACGTTTCACCATTTAGTGTTGGAGTTTTTACTGGCTCTCCAATATCTGTATGTAATAATTCTCCCTTTCTCTTTGGCCTTGGCATATCAACAGTTTTGAATGGTAATCTTTTAGCCTTACCTTCTTTACAAGCTTCACAGACTTCATCACTAACTTCTAAACCCATCGATTTTAGATAAGAGTTATTTAAATGTCCTAAGCGTTTATGTTACAAATCTTTTGTTTAGCTAGTAAGAAATGTTTGTATTGTCATATATTCATATATTCCATTTGCAATGTTTATATTGATATCATTTGATAAATACTCTATATCTGTCATCCATTCCTCTAAATCTTCTTTTACCAAATGATCCGATGCACCACTATCCATAATGAATCTTATACCATTCCTTGTGGATGAACAAAATGTTCTTTCGATATTCGTTGAAGCAATAAATGAAATTTCTTCAGTTGTTTCGTTAGTATAATTAGTTCCTTGCTCATTTCTTACACCTCGTCCTCTGCCTCTACTCTTTCCCCTTCCTCTACCATGAAATGGTTTCCACTTTTTATCTTTTTCAGGACAGTCTCGTGTAAAATTGCCTGATTTACCACACTCGTAGCAGTTTTTATTATGTGTCGTGAAAGAATAGTTGTCATTTTCATTAGTACTTTCCTTGAACTTCATTTCAGCGTTAAGTAACCTGCTTTTGACAAACTCATAGGAAAGACCTTCTGACATTGTCTCTAATGCTGTTATAACTACACCAAATTTATCAGGCATTGTTAGTAATAGGAAACATCAGCTTCTAATTCTCGTAATAACATTTCTACCTGAACAAAATGATCCTGTAAATTTCCTGATGTGTATTTTAACTTTAAGAGCTTCTTCATGATAAATAAGTTTGTTAGAGGACTTTTGCTTTCGAATATGGCCTTTAAACTTATTCACATGTTATACCCATACTTGGCATCTTTCAAATGTTCCAAATATTTATCTGATACACATTGTACTAATATGCATTTTGCCTTTGTATCTTTCTTAATGTATTCTGTTTGTTGGTCCGTTGACATTGATTGTAATTTTATACTCCTATCATCGATCTCCATGATATATTTAACACTTTCTGTTTCCAATAATATTTCCACCCTAAATTTCCAATGGAAATAATTTCCTCCGTCCAGATGTGGATATATTACTTGTGTCTCCATGTTATCACCAGTTCACTTGAATCACGTAATCCAAACTTACACTAATTCATCCACACCTAAGCCGAATTCAATAGAGTTAAAAACGAAATAAAACCCAAGTCATGTGC